GGTTCCAAGTTACATCCTTTATTCTATTGACTTATTTGAATGTAAGCATCTGGCTTCCTTTTCCACTAAACTTTAGCGCAAAATAAAGAGTACACTGTAACGGTATAAAGATGAAATCTTTACTTAACCTTAAATAAATTCCGTTTCCTAAGTGCAAGCTTTACAAGACCTTGTAGGGCGATGAACAAAGGAGCGAACAGATGAATCAGTCGAAACTAGGTTCCTAGGTCTACGGTTTCAAAACTTTCCTACCATTTAAACGACTCTTAGTGTTGACAGAGTGAGAAAGTGAAAATTGCATGTTTCCTCCGACATTTATTCTTGAATTTCGTACATTTTTAAATATAATTAAATTCGTTTAAACATTTGTCACTTGCTTCTTTCGTGTTTTTTTTTTTTTCTATTTTCTTTACGTGAAACAAAACTAAATCAAGTGAAAATATGTTAAATCGAGTTATAAATTTTCCTTATTTAACCTATTCGTAGAGCGTAGAGCGCATAAAACACTACCCCATTACTGGCTACGTGTGCTTTTAACTATATTTCAACAACATTTTCAATTTCAATTTATTTTACCTACTCAACGTAAATACGTTAAATATATGTAAATATAAAGAACAACGTTTCCATTGTTATCTTGTTCGTGTCTATCTGCCTTAGCTGCAAAGAGTGATAGAGAGAGAGAGAGAGAGATAGAGAGCGAGAGAGAGAGAAAGAGGCATGAATTATAAACCTTTTCTTCCTGTAGTTTTTTTTTAGTTTATTTTTTCCTTTCGTGGTTAACCATTGCAACAATAAATCTCTTTTTTTTGGGCGAAAAGCGTTTATATATAAATTTTCAAAGATCTTGACTTGACTTTAACTTATGTACCAGTCAGTCGTCGTTGTCGTCACTAGTAGCTTTGATACAATCTCTGAGGAAAGGAAACCTATGAAAATTTTAGTATATTTGCTTTGTGCTGCTGTAGTAGTGGTATGTGTTCTAAAAGAATTTTTGTGTATCACCGCAATAAATGCCAGGAAATTTTCGCCAACAACAAAAAATTATTTATCATTTAAAAAATATATAAAATTTTTGCCATTCTCAGAATATTTGTACGCAGGTAAATCATTTGTAATGCTTTTGGCAATCAAAAGCATTGAAAATAGTTTAGATTTAGTGAAAATTATCAGAAATGCATGTCTTTGTCTTTTTTGTTTTTTTTTTAAACTTTTCCTCAGAACGGGAAAAGTCCACATGGGTCCTATTGACTCTTCCCAAAATATTTGTTTACAAAAAAAGGGATTTATGTTTAGAGCGTGTGGGTTCCAATTGTTCCTCTAGTCTTGTCCTTTCGAATATTAATATTCAACTCTCTTGACTCGAGTCACTTTACCTTTCGTAAATTGTTGCCAATCTTTCAGCATAGACTGCTTTACTTTGTAACGTATGAAAATCGAAAATTTGCAAAGAATTTTGGGGCAAAAGCAAAACTTGATTCATATTGAAAAGTATCTGATCTAATCGGTTAATAAAAATTTTTGTTGGATGAATGTTGGTAATCAGATAAAGCCAGATGATCATGGACTGGTGTCATTATTCTTTGCATGTATTGTTAAGATATGTAAATGCGTGCAACATCCTCTCGTTATTTAGGTGAGAATGCAATGATAACGAATAAGTCAATAAATCTCTACAAACATTGCGTTGTACGTTGATTTTTGCCGTCTTTTATCCTCGAAATGTGTAATAAAATAAGATTTCATGGAATTTTGCAAACCGACAAAAATAAATTTTAAAATAAATACATAAAAATCAACTTATGGAGATAAACAAAAAAAAAAAAGACTATAATTTTTCCCATTTTTTTTTTTTGTTTTTTTTGTTTGGTGAGGAATAGAGAAGAGTGAACAACAACAACAACACCAACAACAAGTCTTCACTTAAAGTCTTTAACAAATGCGTCGATGTTAACCTTATTTGTAAATATAGAAAGAAACCCTTTTCCATTGTGCATAAGAGAAGATGGCAGTAAATACTATATTTGAGCATTTTCTCAGGATTATCTTGAACAATTGCTATGTACACAAAATGTATATATATATATATATATATATGCAGTAAGTGAACGAAAAACGAATAGAGCGAGCACAAGAGCATGCTAAAGTGACAACATTTTTCTATTATTGGCCATTAAGAAGACTTAGTAAACGAAACATTTTGGCCTGAACGGAAAAGCGAAACGAATAAAATGCTACAAGTTTAGCATGAGTATACAGTTAAAGACCTGTGCTGTTACTGTAAAACAACTCAGTATAAAGTTATGACTGTCGAACTGCAATTGATCCGCATAAACATACACACGCACATCCCGTGTTCCCCGTGCGGAAAGTATACAGCGAGGAAGAACGAAGAAGGATTTAAGTAAATAAAATAGCATTAATGTATAAAGAGCAATAGTTTGCCAATGTGTTGGTGAAAATCCTTCGGCAAATATACACAACAACAACCAAAAAAAAAAACAACAAATAACGATAATTTGTTTTCGATTTTATGGTATTAAAGTAATATTTATGAGATTTAATGGTTATTTATATATTGAAAAGTATTTGGGGGGGAATGCTTGTGTTAATGTATATATTTGTATGGATGTGTGTGCGAGTGTGTGTACTATTGATGAGCAAAAACTTAAAGTTTAGTTTATTTAATTCAAGGTTGCGAATATTTTATGAATTAATTGCTTTTTGCAGCTTATAAAATTTATAATCTTCCATTTAAAAGCCTATTTAAATAAATTAATGTAAAATTAATTGCCTGTGAGTGTTTTTACGCCAATACGACCGCAAACATTTGCTTGCACATTCATAGTCCTATCGGTGCTTGCACTTTTGCATACAATTTCAGAAACTTTTCATGTGAATAACATAAGTACACGAGAGCAGTTAATTCGTAAGCAACTACGTAGCTACATATGCAATGCAATTGCGTTGTTGCATTTCATAAAACACTCACATATGCATAGAAAAAATACCGGAAAATTATATGAAGACTTTTAACATCATCGGAAAAGCACTAACAATACTCATATGTTAACAAATCGAAAAAATGTGTGAAGTTTACCATGAAACTTTAGCGCTTTCAACGCGCTTGTGCATACACACAAACATACATAAATACATACATAAATACATACATACATACATACATATATATGCACATGCACACAAACCTATTCAGACAAAAGCTATACTTGTTTATATAAACAGTCTCAGGGCCAATGTTACATTACATGCTGCACGCAAGCATTATAAGTGCACACATGTGTAATGCGTATGCATTACATTGCACATACGCTTGCACTCCTTTTGATACGATCAACCCCGAAAATCATTGAAATTGTTATGCCCATGCAAATTATGTGCAATAATGTTAATGTAATTGCAACTCATTATATGTGTATGTATCGTTGTTGTATGATTGCAATACATACGCCTATATATATATACGCCATATATATATATATATATATAGCACTTATTCACCCACATTAACGTTTATTGCTGTTGTTGAGCCTACTATTACCGTTAATACTTACACTGATAAGACAAAAATCCACTCGTTCTTATCCGGCTGACTGTTTTTTTGTTTTTTTTTTTTTTTTGTTCATATTTCGATTTTACTGCATATGTTATACGTTCAGCTATAAACGATGGCGATGTTTTTGTAATCACTACTGCGAAAACATTACATTCTCCATTTAAAATATAATGTAATTTATTTTCGCTTCTTTTGGTTAAGTAGATATTCCTCTTCAATAATTAAATGAGTATTTATTTGCGTATTTGTGGTATAATACGGTTCATTGTAAGGAACACATTCATTTTGAGTTCACACCGTAGGTGTACGATTAGTACATATTATAAACGTCCGTTAGTAGCTAAAGCGAGCTTGAAGTAATACGTCAGACGGAGGGAGGGGGGAAAATGCGGCACCTACTAAAGTCAGAAAGAAGCGGAAACAACTCGAAAATGTTATGAAACATTTGAGTCAATACCGTTCGGCGCATTAATAGGAACAAAGTCCATCACACCATTAGTGCTGCATAGGATGATCCTTGTTGATTAGCTTTCATAGCCACCGAAGCATGCGGATGTCCAGCTGCAAAGTGACTTGTTTTACTTGCTTCAGACTTTGACGCCATCAACGAGGCGCCCATAGCAGCCATTAACAAGCATAATTTTTTTTTTTTTTTTTTTTTTTTTAATTATCTGACCAATTACTCAGGGAATGTCTCCTATTCATGTGACACGATGACGGTCAGAAGGGAATGAGGAAGGAGAAAATGATAGGTATAGATATGGTTGGGTAGGTATAGGAACGAGTAAGTGCTATTTCTTCTCACTGCACTCACTACAACTGCGAGCATAGCATAGCGAATCCGACCGCATTATGATTCGAATGTATGAACACAGACCGCGATAGTCGCGATTCTTAGCTATTCAACTGCTTATGCGAATCTGCACAGAGCAATAGATAAAAAATATAGTCCTTAGTTAGATGAAGGCGTGGCTGAAGAACAAAAAAAGAAGCTCCCCTAAACTCCGTATACATAATTAATATCGAAGAAAACGTGTTTGTGTTTACGTTAGTGGAGTAGTTAATCCGTATACCTAAACTATTCGGATATCAGGCGTCGTTTTTTTTTTTTTGTGAGGATCTCTAAGCAATACCCTTAAATAAGTGAAGGAAATTTTTTCTTTACATTGTAGGCAAGGTCTTTCAATATTAGTTTGAGATACCAGTTGGTCAGAATAAACAATGTAAAGCAAAGTAAAAGAAAAACAGAAAATTTTCTAAAAAACTAGCATTCGTTGTATTATAGCTTTGACATTTCAAGCATGGTATAGGGGTTGACATTTATAGGTTTGATCCATTCCTCTTTTACATATCAAAAAAAAAAAATATATATATATATATATATATATATATTTCAGATTTCTATTTCTTTGTTTAATTTCAGAAAATTTACTCTTAAAGTTCTTATTATACACAAGTATCCGGTCAAAAACTACACCACCATTATATTTATGCGTAGACTTGATAAATGATGGACCATGTTTTGATAGCTCCTTCATCTACAACGAACAACTTTACTTCTCGAATGTGTCGTCCGAAGGTAAGTACACCAGTAATCAAGTATATTAACACTCGTTTAGCAGTTGCAACAATACAACTGTCTGTAGTTCACAACAAAACAATTTCTTAGTGTTAAATAAATTTTTATAAATATATGCTACCGTGCCCCACAAAGATACAAATGGCAAACAAAAAACTAGTAGCAGATGCCAATTTAGTTTAGAATCAACCACAAGAGACATTTAAAAAGCTCAGCACTGTATTATCAAGATATAAACAAGTATCGCTACACAAAATATATACACACATATATATATATATATGTAAAGTGAAGTGAAATGGACCTGAGGGATTTATATACATAAAATATGGGCAGGTTTGGAAGTGGGCTAAAATGATTAAAGATTTTCTATAATAATAAAACAAGATATGTTCAGCAATGTTAGTTTAGTAGTCCACACCAGCAGGTAACTTCGTGAAGTAAAACTAATTCGAGAACAAAAAATAATCGTCCAGTTGCTGTGGTTGAAGTGCAAAGTTGAGACATGTTTGAATGTACATATATATATATATACAAAATAAATAACTGTATTATATGATGTGCATAAGGATGCGAAAAAGAAAAAGGTCTCCTATCTAACTTTGTTACTTTTTGTTTTACCTCATAAAGAGTGTGACAAATTAAATTAATGCTATGTTGAGAGTGTAATACGAAAAGTTATAATGCTTTGTTGTGGATTACTCATCATGTATGCTTGTGTATGTGTGTGTGTGTATGTTTGTACTTATTTCTATGTACGTCTTTTAGTATAATTGTTTAATACCCTTGGAGACCCATAGAGCTTAATTAAGTGCAGTCGCAGGAACAGCAAAAAAGGCCACGAAGAAGAAGAAATGAATGACAGGCGAAAGTTGAAAGAAAAAAATAAAACATTAGGATACTCCTGACCGAGAATTATTCATGGAGACTTTCAAAAATGTTAAAAGATACCTCACGACCATTATCGAATTTCCAAAGATTCAACTGATCTTCAAATTTATTAAACTCTGGATTTTAGATTTCTCTCTCCTCATGGAGACTAGACTTTTAGCTACAGATTAGTGTGTTCAGTAAATCAAGGGAATGCTCGCGCTTTGAATATTAATATAATAAACCTTTTTTTTTTTATTAGTTCCAGACAACTGTCGTTAACATCTGACAAAAGTTTCCTATCATGCGGTTTCTCAAGCTCATATTCTACAGTGTCTTTTCTAGTTTATCCAAAATGTTGTTGACAACTTTATCGAGAAGAAGAATGCATATTAAGTTCTATTTAAGGAAAAAGAAAATTGCTTACGCAATCAAATTGAGCAATGACGTAATATCGGAAGTAAGTGTTTATATAGGGTGAATTACGAATCATTTTCGAAAGACTACCAACCTCAACCACTGAGGAAGTCATGTACTAAACCAAGGATCATGTACTTAGCAATCGTCGACTGAGGCAATTGTCTTCTTTGTCTTCTCGCCTTATTTCAAAACAATTGAAAAAACTCGCATCCGATGATCGGAGATCTCGTTTGTCAGAGTAACAATGATCTGAACGGTATAGTTATTAATGGTTGTGGGACATGGATTCAAGCTTACGATTCGCAAATAACTCATCCATCGAGATAGAGAGTTCCCGAAAATTTAAAAAATACATCAACACTACAACAAAAGAACATCAAAAGTCGAGTATGCGCGAGTTTAAACCTAAATAAGTCCTGTTTTAAAACAATGTATTCACGACCTCTTGCATCGCCACGTGTTATATATTGTTCGTCAATTTGTTTTAACACAACTTAAACTAACGTCATTCCACAAGCAACTTGTTTACTTGATACGGTTCCGAGCAACTATTTCCTTTCCAGTCACATACTAGATCGATATTTTTAAGATTGATAGAAGAGGTTCCATTTTGTAAACTCGCAAACCGACTGTTTAAAAACACTTGTCAGATGTTAACCACAGTTATGGAAGCCAATTAAAGTTTATAGCGATATTTTACAAAAAATATTTCGTCTTATTTCTTATATAAACATAGTTTCCATAACAAGTTTACGCAGCAGGTCTCACTGAAGATGGTGAAGCCAAATTGTTATAACCCAAGTGTTGCCTAAGTATAGTATAATAAAGCATTAGTTTATGTTTCAGGCTAACAATCGATTGAAATAATCAGCCTTTTCGTAATTAGTCTACCTTTCCCGGATTGCTTTCTCCTAGCTCAGCCTTTTCTTTTATATCGAATTCCAAAAGAAAGAAACATAATGCCCATAGATACCTTAAACTTCTACTTCTAAAACTTCGCATTCATGCAGCTGCGGCTTGTATTCGTTTCAAGGGTATTTGGAGATTCATTTTAAGTTATATAGGAAAAGTGATTCCGTCTTACCTACTTTTCATTTTTGTTGTTTTTTTTTTTTTTTTTTTGCAATTAATTCTTAATTTCCTTAAAAACCTCAAAATCTTTTATCTTTTAATTCTGATCACCAACATTTAATTTCTTTAAAATACAACGAGGATAGTCGCATGTAAAAAGCACGAACGATTTACATACCGTTAAATCAACAAACATTTAAAAATGCACAAAAGTACAAAATTAAATAGACACAGAAGCAAAGAAGTTATTCAGAAGAATGAAAAAGGAAAAAAAAAAAGAAGAAGAAGAAGAGGACGCCAAGAGGACCAAGAATTTGGAATTAAGCTACTACTTGTCGAAAGAAAGGGAAAACTTAAGCAATGTCTCTGAAGTAAGTTCTTTGCACGCTTCTTTTGCCTTCATTTTCGATGCATTTAACTTAAGTGACTCTTTAATCCCGGTAAGCATCTTAACGGCAAAAAAATACACAAAAAAAAACAACACCATACCACTCAAATTTATTACATTTATTCATCCTATCTGTGCTGTGCTGTGCTGGCTGCGTCACGAAAAAAGTTAGTGATGAAAACGTACCAAAATTGAATGTAACTTAGCTTGGCTTCATATTTTCTTCATTGTGTTTACCTTATTACGTGTGAGTGTGTGTATATGTGTATGTGTGGGGCCAAAGTAGCAAGCTCGGGATGTATGCGCCTCCTGGCTGCCGCTTCTTGGTTTCTTAAAGACAGACTCCATTACACGCCATCTTACTTTCCTTTTACCTCCTAATAATAAATACAACAAAACTTTAACGTATATTTGCTTCATATTGCCTTCATTGCTCACACACTAGGTATGGTTGAGTTGTTCTTTGCTAGTGACTGTCATTCAGTTAGTTTTAAATACATTTCATGCGCTTGTGAATCTCATTTCGTTTATGTATACGTTTGTAAGAGATATGTGCGCTTAGATATATGTATGTGGGTGTTTGTTTGTAAGTCCTTAAGGATATTTACTTCTTGAAAATATGTTTACTCGTGTTGTGCATATTTTAATTGTTACGTTACGTTTGTTTGGTTTGTTTTTTCCTCTTCTTCTAACAACCAAAAAATATACTAACAGTATAGCAATCCGGGAGCAAAATGAACCCACATACCCCTATGAATGAGAATATTCTGCTCTACTGCAGAACATACATACATACATACATACGTAATATATAAATATATATATATATATATATATATGTATATATAAGTGTCTACTACTCTAAGGAATTTTCATTTAAATTTGTCTATTTTTTCCTCCTCTGAATACTCTCATTCCCTCTTGTGTCTGTGTGTTCACGTTGTTGCTTCGTTTCTTGATTGCTGTCGGAAATCCGGTTTTTCTGCTGAGGTGTACAAAAATATTTATAAGTAACCGTAGTCGTGTAGTGTAGTACTACCAGCACATCAGCTTCGATGTTAGCAAGCAGCAGGATTTAAAAAAAAAAAAAATAAATAAATAAAAAAAAAATGAATTTCTTCTATTGTTGTTGGAGAAAGTACATTTTTAATTAAATTTATAATAAAACATGTGTAATTTTTGTGAAACGAAGTCGTCATATGTTTACTTGTAATCATTTTCTTATTTATTCTATGTCTGTACATGTATGTATCCCTGTAAACACCGTTCGTGCACATTCACTTATGTAAATATGTGTTAGTTGGTTTTAATTTGTGTGAGTTATTATAATAATCTCGTATTACATTTCATGAATTTCTTGTATATATATATATATATATATATATACTATCTTTAACTGACACTAGATGCAGATAAAGACAAGAATATAACGTCTTTTAAGTGTTTATTTTCAATTATGATTTATCTCTTGTTTAAAAGAAGACGACTATTTTTCACAAACTCAAGCTTAATTGCGTGGACAATTGAAAATATAAATTAATGATGTGTGCCACCGTATGTAACGTAAAACAATTTCCTTGTTTGACTGCTTTAGAATGGATCTTCGTCTGGATGCAAGCTGAACTGCCTTAAAATAAATACAGTATGAGATATATCAGGCCTTGAAAAAGACCTTTTTTAAAAGATTGATATGTCTTGACATCTTCTCTTGAACAGCCTTCATATGTACACTTTGTAAACAGAGTACCTGGAGGCAAAGATGCTATACGAGGCTCATGTCCCACTCTTCTAACAATTCTGTCGTATGTTTTCTCTGATATATCGTAAAATTTTCTTATTCACCTTTGTGTTTGTTTTCCATTGCCAAGTAATATGGAGATTTTTATAGAAATTTTCTGTGAAATCCTCGTTTTATTTATTGCATCATGTTCTAATTGAATCGTTTGCAAACTTTCCAAAAGTATTTCGGGAACAATTTTAGAGAAAGGCTCTTAAAGGAGTTTTCCATATTGAAAAGAATTGGTTCAACAACACTTGAAGCAGGGAATAAAGGCAAGTAAAGGCAGTTCAATGTTAAGTAACTACAAATTGCGATTGAGAATTGCTCTTGCGCCTTACAAGAAAGGTGATCATACTGATTATGTGTTTGCTTCGTCTGTAAATGCATATGCATTTCTTGGAGTTGACAGTGCAACCACCTAACAATAATGTGAGAATATTACGCTCACTAAAATTTAAGATAAATTCAGTAAATATTTTTCTGCCAAGAAAGTAATCTTGCTTTGTTATATTCAAGTACACTTTGCTGGGATACAAATACAGCAGAAGGCGATGAGTGTATTAGACAAATAGACCGTGAAGTAGTAGAAGAATCATTGAGTAGGGTACAGGAGACTAAGCACACCGAATTAAAAATATGATAAGTAAAGCATTATCTACTACATTTTGATTTTCCAA